CTATACAAATGCTATTTATTATTTATTATTATCATGTCTCTGAGGACATTGTAAGCGTAAGATACGTTGTGTGCGCACTGAGGACGTTGGATGCTATAGTCACAGACACAAGATTGTCACTTAAGGCGTGCTGCAAAGTTCCGGACTGGCTCGTCCCTGTCTCGGGGCATGTTGCTCAAATATTCGAATCTGCTGTTCTCCTGGCCTACTTAATGGTCTCGAGGATCTCGGGTTCGATCTTGTCTCTGGGAGAACTGCCATTTGCTCGAAGTAAGTCTTTTCTTAGCGATTCCTAGCCACACTGTAGCAAAGTCACTGACGGCTGGCATTTTCAGGATTTCTGGGACTACTGGACTGGACTGAGGTAGGCCTAACTGTGGTGTCACTTTGTAAGACAATTTCGACACATAACGTTATAAGATACGGGGATCATAATAAAGATTTAATGACTCCTCATGGTCTAGTTTGCATAGTCCTTTTATTCACGAACAACACGACGATGGGCAGCGAATCTGTAACATACCGTACATGAAGTGACAACACATTAGACTATATGACACATAATGGAACATAGTGATGGCCTGCTACACTATCTACCAACCTGCAATGGACAACAAATGGCGAAGAATCCGTTAGCCTTGCTTCCTGTCGCACAATTTGGACGAAGCGTACCACATCATCTACTGTCAAGTCGGCCTTGGCATTAGTCCACCCATGCAGGGAAAAATGGCTGATCTGGCGAGTCTCTGAACCCTGCAACAAATAATGTACGGACACATCACAGTCAGGAAAAAGAAATCGTATTCTAATTACAATTCACAATGCTTTTTAGGAAGGTATTAATACTACACTTTTATTTGCTTGCACTAGAGTTTTCAATTTTGTACCCTCTGTACCAAAATATTTGGAATATTCTTGCTGTGATAAGAAATAAAAGAAAGAACAACTTAGCTTCAATAGTTTTCTAAATCTAGTGTGATGTAGTCTGTGGCGAGTGGTCATTACAACAGTAACATAATTATTGTAAGAAACGGAACAGCACAGGATAAAAACAAAGAGCATGCAACCCCTGTAGCCTTTACCAACCACTGGGAACCTGATAAATACATGATATCACATCAATAAATGTATAAATAATATTTATCTCAATGCTGTGGAATCAGGAGCTCATCATTTCCGTGGCATGTAGAGTTATTGGTATTATCTTAAGGATTGTCCATTTGTCCTACTTTTAATTTTTTTTTAAAAACCCATTTATTTTGAAAAGAAGTCGAGATACTTACAATTTAATGAGGTGCCCCTACTCCTCCCCCCTGTTGTCAGAAGTAAAATTAGTGAGAAAATGGCTGCCAAAGCTTGGTGTCCAAGGGAACTGCAAATTAACTTTTAAGTGAATTTTATCAGCGTTTTTCCTGTAAAATTCACTCAGAAATTTATTTTTGCATGGACATTACAGGTGTTAAGCCACAACCCCCTCCCCCCCCCCCCCCCCAAAAAAAAAGAAGAAAAGAAAATTGACCAACTGGTGATCTTGGTTCCTTCAATTTCATTTATTCTAACGAGCGCCTGATTTCACCACGATCCTCCCCCAGATACACACACACAAGAACACATTAACATCTCTACGTATGATTATATGGGGAGAAATTGTATCGAGTATCTAAGTGTTTCTGCTGGGATGTTGTATCCCTCTCATCTCAGGTTGGCCCTGACAGACAGGGCCAGAAGCCCACCTTCTATGTGATTTACGAGTACGCTGTGTTGATAGACGCTTAAAAACACCAACATTCATAAAAGACAAAACATCACGATGTATACCTACGAACAAATAACTTACCATGGAGATCTGTAAGTTGCGTATGACGTATTTGTTGAACACAGAGACATGAATCATCTTCACCTCAACGTTTCCAAACTCAACCGATTCGTCGAGGTTCTCGGGCCAGTACAATTTCCTTTTTCCCTGAAAGGTTTCAAATTTTGAGACAGGTATAAGACAGTGATGTACTGTGACCAACTACTCTCATTCAGTGATTGTTAGTATAATACAATGGAGCATGCTTGACCTTGTATACAGATCAAACGTCGCTTGAGGTCTGTTATCATAGTAACGCGCGAAGGCATGGCATTATACTTTGCTTCTAACACCACTGTTGTATTCCAAAAGAGCATATCAGGTACGTTCTTTCGGAAGATCAATGAGGAGTTCAAATAATTTATTTTCGCTGTCATTTAACATCTTAGAATGTCAAAATTTCGAGAAAAAAAAAGAAAATCAAGTATGTTGTAGAGTTCGGAGAGATTTATCGATTAGTCCTAATCTCACACCTCTTCTTAAAAGAATAAAGGGTTTCGATGAATTAAATAAATTTTCCTTTATGTAAAGTTCTGCCTGTGATACAATTTTTGCTCCTCCTGAAAACTTTGTATTTGGACACACGACAATGATGAATAATGGCGAAGGAATGTTTATCTTTATGGTATTTCATAGAGGTAGCAT